GAATCAAGAACATTTCCTTATTTCCTCTTCAGCTATCATAGCATATTAAAAATCACCATCACTTTTTGTAAAGGTTCATAGTTAAAATCACTATCACTTTTGTTCTCTTGTCTCTGGAGTATCGAACCTATGGGTTCGATCCAGTCTTGACGCCAAAAAGATTCCCGTCCCTCCAGAATTGGTGGATTTGTAGCATAGTGGAGAGCTGGCCCACGCGTATATGTAAAAGGCCTCCATTTAGTTACATTATCATAATTACTGAGATCGAAAGACGTGGGCGCTCATAGGATTCGAACGTGCTCAGATTTTATTCTTTACCTTCATTCTGATATACTCACTATGTACTAGCATTAAATGATTTCAACTTTATTAACTACATCCAAGAAATTAACTACGTACATACCACAGCTAATCACCAACAAATAATTCGCAAAGAGATATCTGTTTGAATACACGTTACAAATGAAAAGACAAAGCAAGGACAATAACAAGGAAAGCCTACTGAAGAATGCAGGCTATAGATTGTTTCAACTAGAGAAAGCTTCAAAATTTACATTCAAAAAGTCGCAAATCGTGTTCATCAAAATGACCTCGTTCATTGATTCTCCAGTTTCGCTCAATCATCTTTCTTGCTAACATTGTCGCCACCCTAAAAGTCAATCATTTGACTGCACATTGACAAACTAAAACTTCAAACTTTTGCAATCTTTGCTAATGTTGGACATCAAAAACACCTGCAATAACGGACATAGGGGCGTGTAAAAAAGAACGTCATTCTATTAGGGAAAAGAGGGGGAGAATGGGAAAAAAACTGAACAAAACGTACTTCTCCTTTCTAACAGTTTTAAAGAGAATTGATCGCGAATAAACAGAAAAGCTGAAAACTTTACCTCATATTTGACCAGGAGATCCGAAACGCGGTCGTATTCATTCTGAAGAGATTCAGCCTGTTTGCGGAGAGTGTCACGGTCTACCTGCGTTTTCTTCAGCTCAGTGCCAAGTTCTTCAATCTTGCGGTTCAGTTCGGCAACTTCTCCTTCGCCTCCCTAAAAGGAATGCTATAATAACAAAGAAGCCAAGCCCTTTCTCAAGCCAACTTACAGCGTTCATGAGAGTCTTGGCTGCTTTCGAGGCACCCTCAGCCTGTCTCATTGCTGCTTCACTGGCAGCTTCAAGCTGTGCTCCGCGGCTGAGTAAACCCATGATACGTTTGATGACTCTGCAAAGGAATGAAAAGTAGAAAGTTGAAAACCATATTCAACCACCGAATGATCCTTTGCAGAAGTTCTATTTTACTTGAATTCTGCAGTAATCTGACCGTAACATAAGATCTGGCTGTGAACCCGAAAATTCTGTTCATTTGAATGTT